GTACATCGTTGGATACGCGCAGCCCACACGGTGGATGGCGACGGCAGATGATTCCATTTCCACCCACCACCAACCCGGCCAAGGTTTAACTTCCTTCACAGTTCATCATCCAAAAGAAAAGGAAGCCTTTTCCCGATCAAACCAATTCTTCATCTTGCATTGAGAACCGACGGAACATTAAAATTGGTTGATCGATTCCTATTATCCTATATGTATACAGTATACAATGATGCTACTGGTACACTGCCGCTACATCGCTGCGATTTGCACGGCCGTATAAAATGCTTTCACAGAGTTAATACAGTTTCACTTGGAGAAGAAGAAGAATCAGAGAGACAGAAAGGTACAGAAGCAGCAAAGGACGGCCGACAGCTACTTGTACGATTCGATTGGCGACTTCAGGCGATGGCGACGGCTCGGGAGGCCGGCGCCGGCGCCGGCGAGGGCGGCAGGCGCGAGTTGAAGTTCCGGTACGGGAAGGCCGCGTCCTCTGCTTCCGCGCCGTCATCACTGCCGCTGGCGCCGTCGTCGAAGTTGAGCGCGTAGCTGAGCGGGTCGTACCTGAACTCCCCCGCGGCCGCCACGCGCCTCCTCCACCTGGCCCTGCCGCTGTTTTGTGGCCTCTCCCCGCCGCTACCCTGCGACGACGGCGAGCCGAAGCAGCCGCACACGGTGGTCCGCAGCTTGTGGCGCAGTGACGGTGGCGAGTAGGACGAAGAGGACTCCACAGCGTCCATGGAGTCTGCCTCTGTCTTGGTGCTAGTGTGCTTCAGCTGGTAGAAGCTAGAGATGGATGTGGGTTGTCGATCGAGTTCTGGGGTGTGTGACGGTGTGCTCTGCTGCTGTAGAAGATAGGCGGAGGTTGGCAGGACTAAATAGGAAGAGTGGAAAAAAGACTGGACCAAGACAGGGGCCGGTGACGGCGTGAAGGGTAAGAGACGCGGGGAAGCAAGCAAGCAAAGCTATCGCCGTAGCGCACGCGTGCGGTTAGACGTGAGGGTGTTCTGGGGATTTCGCGGGGCTTCGCTGCCGTTGGGACGGGAGGGAGGAGGGCGATGGCAACGGTCGGTCTTCGTGCAAGCTGTCGCATTGCACAGAGAGAGAGACAGCTGACCGTGGCAACAACGGTAACAGTGGTAGCTTAGCTGCAAGTGCAGCTCAGACCTTCGTTCAGTGCACTTATACAGGCTTTGGTTCTCTTTTTGTTTACCATGATTGGCCGTTGTTGTCTTTCAAGTGTCAAACAGCTGGTACTCTTATTTTTTTTTCCTCGAAGAAGAAACACTTGGCACTTTTTGCTCTTTTAAAGGAGATCAACATCTGATCCTCACGCGGACGTACGCTATGCCTCCATTCACTTACTACATTCGCATCATACAGAAAAGAGCACGATAAAAAGCACTGACACGGCCGACCGAATAGGATGCCAAACCTCCCGGCCTGGTGAAAGTGTTTCGTTCGATCCACGTCAGCCTTTTATAATTCCTGTGACAGCGACGGCGACTCTGCTCGAGTGAGCGCTCGGTCAAAACGTGCAGCCCGCAGGAGAAGCAAACTATCCTGCCTCCATGCAAGCGCCGTTGGTTTGGTTTTGCTGGCACCCTCCACGTAGCCTGCAGAAGCAACCAACACAACACGGAACATCCCGTGCGTGTTCCACACGCCCAATGCACATACTCTTCCGTTCTGAAAAGTCAAACTTTACAAATTTTGACTAGATTTACAAAGAAACCTATTTGTATGTACAATATCAAATATATGCAATATGAATATATGGCTTGTGATGTATCTAAAGATATGTATTTCTTATTCTAGATGTATATGTTTTTCTTTGTAAACTTGGTCAAAGTTTATGAAGTTTAACTTTTTTCTAAAAAATATACGCACTACATTGTGAAGTGGAGAGAGTAGTATCGTACAGTAGTACAGTACTACTAGAGCAGGATAGTGCTAGCTTCAGCCTTCGGGCTTGAGCACGTGAATGTTGCACCTTGCATGGTGGCAACATCCAATCATTTGGATCACAGGGTTCTCAACCGATTTGATCTGATTAGTCCGGCAATGGTGTTGTGCCCATTCTATGAATCACACGATGCTCTTGCAAAGTCGGAGCCTCGAAGAATATATCAAGCTCAACCTTTTTCTGGACCCCCACCAGAAGTTTCTAACCAAGCGAGTTAGATCGTCACGAACTGTGAGGGGTTGTTTGAACACTCCAACTACATAAATTGGGAGAGCCTAGTAGATTTGATTATAACCTCTCTGGCCGCTTACGAGAGCGTTCAAATGTTGTGTCCATGTCAACTGGTTTCTGAAGAGTAACCTGCACACGAATAGACTATTGCAGCCCATCCAAGAAGCGAGTAACATAGTGCAAAGCAACAGTTGTCTCATAGGTAGATAACTTATCATATAATTCAGAGAATCGCTCAACATAATATTCTAATGTACTTGTCTCATTAATATGAAATATTATGTAAATGAGTACCTGATGTTGATTGATGTTGATTGCAACCGAACCTCCTTTGAAGAAGCTGACATGATTTAGACCACGTGGCTTTGGGAGCACAGTGTTGCACAGATTCAAGCCAACGAGTAGTAGGTCCTTCAAACTGAGAAGAAGCTAATGAAATCCACTGCCGAGGAGGTGAGTTCCATTGCTATAAATAGCCATCACAACGATTTTGCCACAGACAAGAATTTGTATCATCAAAACGAGGAAGTTCAACACATGGATCAGTAGCAAATTGATCATCAGAACTCTCTCGA